ATTCCTCCCTCTTTTTTTCCTCCCTCATCCCCCCACCCCCATCTTAGTTTTCTTCTTTCAACATTATGCGCTTTTCCTAGTTTAGATAGTTCGTCTTATATTTTTTAAAAAGTGCAGCCATGTGAATCTTCTAGCCAATCAGCAAATAGAGAGTCAGCAACGTCAGAGTCCAGGAATGGGTACAGCAAGTATATTATGCTTGAACTTAAGCAACTACATGTTCTGTCTCTAGACGTATATAACCTGCCGACATATCACAGAATACTGGTGAAAAATATTTACTGAAGATTTAAGAACATATATCTGAATTAGGTCTAACACTTTGAGCTTCATCATTTCATATTCTGACTGATTCTTCTTCCAGATCGAAAAGTATAATAATTTTACAAGGTACGTTTTTCTCTGTGTTTTCTACATGGCCTCAAATTGCAACTATATTTTTGTGGAGGGCATTTCAGAGAGTTAGAATATAAAGCTATAATAATATGTCTGTCAAATAGCTGTTTTACAGCAAAATCTTGTTGTTCAAGGGAAACACAATTAATTAAAAATGACACTCTTTTTGCTTGGCAAGAATGCAGATATTCTCAAAAAGTGGAATTTTGAAAATATAACTGATGATGGTGGTAGTGAGGATAACGATGATTATGATAGTGATTATACATTTGAAAAGCAATTCATATTTTTTAACGTAAATTTCTGAACTATTGGTACGTTTTATTACATTTCAACAGTGATGATAAATGAAATAATGATACTTTAAAATTCTAAATTTTTACTCCCAGAAATATAAAGACATTGGGCATTGAGGAGTGTCAGAAATTTGTTAAGGAGACAATGCTTTCTGATTGCCGTCAGTCAAATCGCATTTTTGTCACAGGCAGTCACAATGTCTACATCTTTGGAGGTGACTGAGGAATCAAAGAAGTACATGGCCGAGGCGTACAGAGAAGGGGGTGTCCCAGAGAAGACAGCAACATTCTACACCAGTTGGGTTAAAGACGATAATTACGATCAGGTAACATTGGATACGACGCTAGCTCAGTTGGCATAATGCTGGTCTCTGGAGGGGATATCCTGGTTCAAAGAGACACAGAGTTCTGAACTTAATGTATTTTGGGGAATCCTTTTTTTGGCTCTCCAACGTTTGTCTTGGTCCTATCAGAGGTAGACATTAAATCCGTGGGCCCTGGCTCTTAAAATAAGTTTACAAAGTTAAAAGGGGACTGGGGAGGGGGGTAGCCATTGATGCTTCCCATTTTACTTTTAAGTCATCATGATAAAGAGCTTCAAAACTCTTTAAATAGAATCATGTGAGAAATGATCAGCTTAGACTAGCTTGCTCTGACAGCTTAGAGGTCAGCTACAACTTTCTTTCTGTTTCATGGGTCTTTGATTCTTTCTTTTCTAACAGAGCCCAATCTCCCCTGTCGTCTTTTCAGTTGTATTTGCTGTGTACTATTTATGCAATAGACACACCATTCATTTCACACCAGGAAGCCGACCTCAGATTCAAAGCAAATAGTCAAGAACGAGAGGAAGGAGGTTGCCACCTGTTTAAGAGGAAGCTGGTTTGTCCACTTCCCCTTTCTTGCTCAGAATAGACAAATCAATCTTTAAAAAAAAATCCGATTTTTATCTGCCTCTTATTCCCCCTTGGGTGTCGCGGGAAGAAAGAGACGTCTCTCTGTCGCCAGCCGAAGAGCTTGGGTCAGGGGGATGCGGTGGGTGGTTAATGTTTCCCTGACTCCATCTATCCAGGTCTTTCTCGGTCGCCCTCTAGCCTTGTTGCCATCAAATTTTTGGATGTAGGCACGTTGTGCTGGATGTAAAAAAAAAAATTCATTATATGTCCAAGTAAACCCAACACGCGGTCTGCCACATAGTAATTTATCTTCGCCATTTGGAGGTAATCACCAGAGACAACATTATTTTAATACAGTATAGTTACTTAAAGAGATGAGCAATAGAAGCTAAAGTTTCTAGAAGTGTAAAATTGCCTACTAATTTCAATTCTGAAATTCATTTCCTCAACTGCTTCAAAATAGTTGCTGTTTAATAACCAGATATTCATGAACACGCTCACTACATACCAACAAGCTTCATGTTTCACGGATGGCAAAATGCTTGGTTGATATCTGGAATGCCTCGGGTTTCTCCAAAAATAGGTCCTTTATAACAGTTGTGAGCCATTATCTTGTCCGAACAAATGTTCCTGCCTTTGTTCTGATGTAGCCTCGCGCATCATTCCCGACTGGCAAAGTGCCTATGGTGTTTTGTTAAAATATCCCCATCAGTTTGGGATGGGTAGCACGATTTACCCCACCATTGTTAAAAAAGTAGAGGTTAAAAGGAAATTTTCAGTTCATAAAATGCGAGGAAGATTGTCATTGGGCTATGCTGATACCAAAGCTTTGAGCTGTGCTGTAGCCGTGCTGTAGCCGTGCTGTAGCTGAACCGCTAAAAATATATGCATTCTTCATCTACATTATGTGTCACGACGCGGTGGAATCAGACGCTCGTCAGTTCTGGGGCATTTGGGAGTTATTGATATTAACTAAAAGCTTGTTCATTTGTCTTGTTTTCCCTGAAAAATACCTATCTATCTTAAACAGAAGTTGTGATATTAGTATTACTGAAGGAGATGGGGGTCGTCTGGTTTCATAAGTAAAATTAGTGAGAAAAATACCTCTAAAGTTTGTTGAGCTCAATACCTTTCGAGTCCTTGGAAATTGTAAATTTACGGTTTGTGTGCCTTTTAGCTAAGTGTTTCAGTAAATTCCCCTGAACAATATGTTTTTTTTTTTATTGGATATAAAAAGTGTTTAGCCAAACAACAAAAAATATATAAAAATTCCCTAATGGCTACTGGTTTGAAATGTCGTTTTCTTCGATTTCATTTTTATTTTACGAGTGCCTGATTTCATTACAATGCCTTACAAATTGTTGTAACCAACCTTTCACACCAGCTTTGTCGCAATTAAAGTCGATCTTCGATGTAACTGCATACACATCTCGAACCTAACAGCCGTGCTCATCTCGTTTTGTAATGACATTTAGTATAACCACGTTTTGTTGCACAGCTGCTTGATTACCTCAATATTGCTTGATTGGAAAGTAAGCAAGGAGAAAGACAAAATAATACGTTCAGTTCACTTTTTAATTAGACGACCTTCCAAGTACGTTGAGGAAAATAAGATAAAGACTGCATGAACTTTGTTTTTTTGAAGAGAAAAAAAACTTGCAGGACATTGCGCAAAAGTGAACATCACCCCCTCTTCTTCCTCTTCCTCTATCATCACCCTAAACATCCCCCCTTCCTTTTCTGTTCTCTCTCTCTCTCTCTTTCTCTCTCTCTCTCTCTCTCTCTCTCTCTCTCTCTCTCTGTCTCTTTTTTTTCTCTCTCTCTCTCTTTCTTTCTCTCTCTCTCTCTCTCTCTCTCTCTCTCTCTCTCTCTCTATCTCTCTTTCTGTTTCTTTCTTTCTCTCTCTTTCTCTTTCTCTGCAATGTTTGAGGTCTTGCCAACGGAGCTCGCACACACCTCATTATGTGCTCCAGCATGGTGCATTTGATGTGAACATGCAAGAGTCTGTCGAGCCATCGGCGAGCAATTCGCAAGCTACGTTCTTTCTTACTGCCAACCCGTGGCAGTTGCCCTTGGTCTAAACATCTACGTCTCTCTGTTCGCTGCTGCTCCTTACTAGCTGAGACGCTCGAATCCCTCAGGGGCTTTTGGTCTGTACGCACACTAATGAATAAAACACCAAAGGTAGATAATGAAGAAAAGCCCCCCCCCCCCCCAGTCCGAAAAAGTCAATCAAGAATAAAAAAAAATTAATTAAAAACCCAACTCAAACCTCAATCCAAAACATGCTAATTAATAACATGATATTGTGCCCTCAAAGTGATCATGCTGAACTACGGAAAAGATGAGCCTTGTTTGAATCTCTGACTGGGTTTTCTTGAACTCTGTGGTTTGGCAAATTTTCAAGCCTTAAAATCATTTGGCATGGTCCTATCGTTGATGGACGATTAAGTTGGCGGTCCAGTCTGTTAAATTACCGTAAATTGTTGATAAAGACGTTAAACCCATACAAAGAAGAAAGAAAGAAATGGGACCGTTTTGTGGAACGCTATTTCACTGTGTTTCATTTATTGTTTTTTTGTTATCGTCTTGATAGAAAAAAAAGCTGCTGCGGCATATAAAGTAAAGGGAAAAGGCAGACTAAATTTTTCAAACAAGAACGAGCTGCACAAACTGATTCAAAGTATTGATTTGCATAATTATTTACGTCTTCGAAACGCACAGTCTTTGTTCTTAGGTTGGCCCATCTCAAGACAAGTTTTTAAGTTGTACTTGAAAAACAGGAGAAAGAATGCGTTCACAAATAAACAAACATTAATTATTCATTAATGTTTAAAGGAAGGGGCGGGGGAACGTAACATTTAGTGTAAGGGGGATGGAATGTCAAATATGTTAAATTTGAAAAATCTATAATCAGAAATATATCACTATTAACATAATGTAGAGAGTAAAAACTGTTTTCAGAGAACTAGACATCCGATGTTGGAGAACCTCTGAAAAAGGTATGAATTTAACGCCCCTATCAACACTATTAGGTTATTTAAGGGGCAGAACCTCCTAGCGTCTCCGATAGAACCTAGCCAAATGGGAAGTTCGTGTAAAGTGCCTTTCCCAAGGACACAACGTCGGACCGAGCTGAGGCTCGAACCCCCAAACCCACAATCTCGCGATTACGAGTCCGGTAGCCTAACGCCACGTTGGAAAACCTCTTGGCATATATAGCTAAATATCAACTCGGGAAGACCCAATTTCTTGCACTAAGCCCAGTTTACCGTCACATTCCCAATTTTCATAGTACTCATCATGTTTGAACATTTGAAGTGTGCTGTTTTTCGATATCAGAATAGGTTACTATCTACTCTATTCGATAAACTTGTATGTCCATCATCCTTGCAATGTAGGGATATTAACAGCGTCTATAACAGACAACGATTACACCAGTCTTTTGCCATATTCCTACGTCTAAATTAGTCCCCAGGTAGACAGACTATTATGTTTATTGAAAACTTTGATCTGGTATCCTCAGCACCTGAACCCAGACATTTACCATGGCCCCAAGATAGCTGCCCAGTCTGTAGAGGACTATTTTCCCTCTTCCAAACATGCGGACATCTATATTCTGGATGTCGCTGCTGGCACAGGTTATGTTGCAGAGCACGTGAGTGGTCTGGACCATGTCAATGATACAGTTGATAGCATATTTTATTAAGAGGACATTATTGAATTTATTGCATCCTCAAATTCTCAAAAATAAAGGCGAACATAATATCCCTTATTGCTACAAATATTCTGAACAGTGCAATAGGGCGGGGGGGGGGGGGCTGTATTCAATACCTAAGATGCCACAATAAGAGAACATAAAGTAAAAGTAATAGGACAGCTTTCTTTAAAGCAAAGGTATAATGATTTCTGACCTTGCAAGTATGGGAATTGGTTATAATAAATGCTTGCTTAGAGTATAGTCTTCACGCTTGTCATGTGTTTAGATCAGAAATCATACTGCATTTACCAAGCCATTTCTCATCTCCAGCTGAAGAACTTGGGATTTAAGCATATCGATGCCCTGGACCCTAGTGAAGGAATGCTAGAAAAAGCTCGCCAGAAGAGACTATACAATCATTATATCTGCGCCTTCCTGGAAAGTAACAACAAATTACCTATTCTTGAAGGTGAGATGGTCCATCAAGAGTTCTGTTAAATGGTATTTATCTTGCTAGAAAGTTGTTCAATAGGTGGTGTTGACAGGTGTTCGTAAAAAAAGTTTAATATGGCACTTTTTATTTGAGGAACAATTTGTAGGACATTTAACGATTTACTGAATAATTTGAACTTGTGTGTTTGAAAAAGTAAACGACATTAAATCTAAATCTTGTAGAAATCTTAAGCAGGATTTATTCCAAAATTACTTTCAAATATTGAATAATTTTCTTGACTTTTGGCATTTGAGTGATGGTTCTAAAGTCTACGTATTTATCTGTGTTTACTTGTTTCTTCGGGATGACAATATGAATCGATAAAAATAGATCTTCTATTATTACTCGTATGTCCTGAGATTTCATTTACAAATTTTGTCACAGATTTAATGACAAATTTATCTATGTACTTCAGTATTTGTCATCTTGGTCGGCATTCATTTTTTTTTTTGTTTTTTTTTGTTTTGGGGGGGGGGTTGTTATCTGGTGTGAACTCTACCTCTGACTTTGAAATTTTGTGCTACTAGTGTTTCTTGGTTACAGGAAAGGTGATCTTTTATCTTCAAATTATTTCCTAAAATTCGTCTCTCCTTCCAATGACTTTTCTTTAACAAATATTATTTTCACTATCTTCGTATTCAACACTTCCTGTGGGCCTCTTGTTTTGCTTTTTTCCTGTGAGTTCCTTAATATTGTCGTGCGTCTTTTTCGACCTATCTTGACCTATTTGCCAAGTTCATACCCTGACTTTCATGCATTTTAATGCAGTGAGGTTGTATGCGGTTTTGTGTATAGGTGTATTTTGGACTCTTTCCCCTTCTATCATTTGATTTTAGATTTCGTAGGTGATCTAAGATCTTTTTGGACGTGCTGTCCTTTTTATGAAGTTTCTCGACTGTATTAATTTTGTTCTTTTTACAAAAGTTTTGGAATCTTTCCCTTCCCTTGTTTCGTTCTCCTAACCCATAATTGCCAGTAATGTCTTGACACTGTCAATTTTCTAATATCGTGTTTAGGTCTCCTATTATGACAAACATTTTTTTTTGGTAGTATGCTTCTATATTTTCATCTACGTAAATTGACGAAAGAGCTGATGTACAGCAATGTAAAACGGTTTTACCTCTCTTATAAGTCGAAGGTTTCCTTCGATGACTGACCAATGTCCCACAATCTGTTTCTCAAGCCTCTCTTTTAGCCATGACACTATAGTACCCCATCTAAAACCCATCTCGTGCCTGAAATTCTCAGAAAATCTGTAACAAGCTTACATGCCTTTTAAATTCTAATTATAAAAATTCTTTGGCTTATAGAAGAAACCTTTCATCCCATTTTTGTAGCTCCAAGGTTTTATGGGGCAGCGGACTACTCGAAACAAGGATTTTAGATTATTCGGCATAAAATCATATCACCAAAAAAAAATAATTCACACACTCTTTTGAGCTTTTAGACATGATATGAGAGTGCACACATGCAGATTGACTGTTGGACCCCTTATTTAGCCACTAATGAGTACTTAATTTAGTCGTTGAATTTACTGTTTTAAATTATATGACCTCCCTTTCTCAGTGTTTTTTTTTGTCAATGGCTTTCGAATGAGGTCACACGTACTGACCAGTGGTCAGTATCTATAAAGAAATTTGGTATCGGCGTGGGGTCTTTGATTCTTCTCACTGTATCTCTTTTAGTTATAATGTAGTTATCATAATGTCAGAAATTCCCATTGTTTCACTTAACTGCCGGTAGCTCTTTGCTTCCAGATGACTATAAATTCCTGTTGCTAATGTTTTTCCAGTTCGTAGTTGTTTTAAAACATTGAAAACGTGTACTATGGTCATTGGAAAACGCTTCAAGACGTGTTATTTTGGGATATAATGTTATTGTCTAAGAAGATATTTCGACTTTGTTTTCGTCATCTGAAACTTTAAAAGTCATGCAACAAAATGCATACTATTAAACTTCCGGAAGCATTTTAGATTTTGTGTTTGGTGAGTCGAAATATGCCAAAATATTGCCTTTGGTCCGCTGTTGGTCGGACTTAGGCGTCCACTACGTTTTAAAATAGTTAATATCATTCCATTTTAAATTGTAATATGTCAGTTTATTTTCCTCTTTCCTTTGACCTCTAACATGCATGCAAGCACGTGGTAACCTCACCAGAACCTCGTCTGGCAAAAGATTACATTTGAGATGACTCGAGTAGGCTTTTTTTTGGCTTGCTTAGTGCACCAATGACATAAAGCCACGCCATTCATCTCCCAAACCCGGCAATCACCTACTTTCGTTCGTTACTTCTTCTAGGACGTGGACCAGGGCTGGTTTTAGAATGGATAATGATGATACATGTTCTGTTTGTTATAACCTTTTGCTGTGTTTATAATAATTGTTGGTTTTTATTCTATCCCTCATGACGTCAGATACTTACGACTGTGCAGTGATATCCGGAGGCATGGGCGAAGGACACATTCCCTACAATAGTCTGGACCAACTCATCAGGGTTGTTAAGCCAGGTAAACGCTTAACCCTCTTTAAATGAACATTTTCTGAGACATGGGACCCCATTATGACTTAATAGACTAAGTTCATTGTCTACATAAACAAAATGCACTTTAGTTCTGTTGCTCTACTCTGATTTCAATTTAAATAAACATAGAAATTATTTTCTAATGACCCTAAGATAATAATTCAACAAATAATTATACTATGATGCAACTGAAAAACGAAGTTTTTAGCAAATCCAGGGGTAGTATTACTGTTTTGTTGCTTGATTAATTTTTTTTGGTGTTATCGTAGGTTTCAGTGCGATTGAACTCAGATACTAAAGCACCAGCCACGTGGTTTTATTTGAATTGGGATTTCTTTTCTTAATACTTGGGTTCCTACGTCGGAACATTTCTATATATTTACCTTTTTAATTTTAATATTTTATAGTACTTTTATTACTTTTGCTTGAAAATCATGATAACCTTTCTCTGTCGTTTATTCTACGTTGGGAACATATATATCTAAGATATGCCTTGCTCTAGTGATTGGAACCGTACAAAATAACAGAAGCTCAACTTGTGTGTACACAATCCACAGGTGGACTTGTGTGTATAGTGATGAGAGAAGCTTTCGTGAACTGCAGCCAGTACAAAGACCTGTTGGAACCTCATATGTCTCTTCTGGAGAAAAAGGGTTTATGGCAGATGGTGTCAAGAACTGTGGTGGAGAAATACGTCCTGCAGCATAATGGCGTTGTCTACAAATTCAAAGTTCTATCCCGCTAG